GCAGAACATGGTTTTTGGGGTTTTAATTAAATTTGCTTACTGTGTTTTATCAATTATTCTATAATGACTTTCCCAATTATTTTTAAATTTATTCACTGAGAATTTTAATATTATAGGTTATTTCTTTCAATTAATTAAGCTTTTTATGTAAGGTTTAGGTTGAAATGAAAAAATTAGTGTCACGAGCGGGATTCGAACCCACGACCTTCGGCTAATACGCCGCTGCTCTAACCACTTGAGCTATCACGACTTCGATCCACCCGACACCAACTCCCCATCTCAAGCAAAAATCTTTCGAATTTTACCTCCTTTCTGCCATTTTTCAAATGTCATGTAATCAGGATTCGATTCTCGGTGACTTCTGAAGTGGCCACGGTGAGATCTTATTGAACATATACTTCGTTTTACTTATAAATCCATTGTATTTAGAGTTCTGTTTGACCAGATTACTTCTTTCAATTAATTAATCTTGCTATAGATTATTTACGTTGGGTTGAGGGTTGGGGTAGAAGGGATTTGAAAAAGTAGGACATGGCACAAAACAGGTTGAGAAGCACTGGTTTAACAATAGTTGCTTACTTTTACTGTTCCATGGCGGATTTTGAGGTTGAGGAAATTTTTTTGATGATGTTCAGTAGAGGGCAAGACTGTTTTCAATGAGAACGTACCCTGAGTACATTTTTTTATCAGTGTTGTCCTCCACTTTTGCACCGGTCTTCGATAAACTAAAGATGTTCTGGGGTGTTCGAGGTTACTTGGATAGGATTCGATTTAGATGGCAAAGTTGCGGTTCTTGGTATCGGGGTGTGCACATAGCTCAGCAGTAAAGATGATATAAAGTATGTGACCATGAATGCACCCTTGTGGGACACCGCTTGTATTCTGGAGCAGTTTACAGGATCCTAGGATACACGGAACTGGAGGAGTTCCCCTGAGCACAGCAGTTGTACAACTTATTGTACTCTATCCCTGGCTCCATTTTTTGAGCCTCGTAACACGAGTGTGAATTTGAGAATTTTCTATCAAAGAAACTCAGTTTTGAAGAGGGTTGGGGCCAAATCCAGGGTCGCTGAGATCCGATCCCGCCCCTTCCATTGATGAGTGCCGTGTCAATTTCTTTCAATTACGGCCATTGGTCCCCTTAGGCGTTCGTAAAAGGTCCAGAGGCGACGGTGGGGATCGAACCCACGACCTCGGGATCTACTAGCCGACTCACGTCCTTTTTTGATTGGGAATGTCTAATGAGGCTCTGACACATTAAAAACCGTTCTATTGTATCGAATTTACTTGTTATTTCCATGCGGTACAGAGACAATTTTTCAGCGTTACGTGACACCTGAGAGGATTTGAATAGAGTTTTGTGTCCGTAGCATTGTAGGTGTAAAATGACTAATTCTCAATGTCAAAAAATCAAGTCAACGTCTCAACGTCGAATGTTCAACACTGCTTTTAGAACCCAAGAGTGTCCGGGGTTATCGGCAAACGTGTCAAATTGGCAGTTCTTGTCATAACTCCACCACCGCGTCGAATTAGCATAAAACCGCCCCCCCCCCATGAATAAATTATACGAATATCGGCCTAGATAAACAAGGATAAATCAAAACTGTATCATGACGGCCATGGTTTTGGACAGACACCTCCGTTACCCTCAGTCAGCAGAAAAGTGATTACGCAGGTGCATCCCCGCGATAGCCAACATAATTGCTTCAGAATATTGTATCAACTTGAGAAACCACGCGATACTGTTTTGCACGCGAACAACATTCCCTACTTTTCTCCATCAGCATGAAAAGCAGTTATTACAATGAAGGTGTTTGCTTAGTTACGTCACTTAATTTGAATACTTAATTTGTCTATTTATTCGTATAAAAAACAGAAAAAAGAGAGACAGTTTTAAACATTAAAGACTAACGATTAAGTCTTCATTTAAGCAAAACTACAAAACAATCTTTTTTTAATTTTTTTAACGTTGAAAAAAATTCTTAAGTTATTAATACGCCCAAGCTTTTCTCCTGTGAAGTAAGCGATCAATATCAGGAAAACATAATTTTCAGACGATTGGATAAAATATTTCAAAAATCATACAATTCAATAAGTCCTAGCTTATATGTATAATTAGAAGTGGTCTGGTGTGATGTAGGTTCAGTAAAATATTTTCTTTACCGTGTGACGTTTCGATCTTTGTTGAGATCATCTTCAGTGCCTGGGATTTATAAACATTACAATGTAAGAAATTATACAAATATAAGATACGATATATGAATACCAGGCCCTGAGAATGATCTCAATAAAGATCGAAACTTTCAATTAATTAAGGTTTTTAGTTGAGATAAAAAGCCAATGTCACGAGCGGGATTCGAACCCACGACCTTCGGCTAGATACGCCGCTGCTCTACCACTTGAGCTATCGTGACCTCGATCCACTCGGGCACCAACTTCCCATCTCAACCCCACCTTTTGAATTTTTTCTCCTTTTTGCCATTTTTTTAATATTATATTTTACCCACTAGCAACAATAAGAATTTAGAGAAAAGTAGCAATAATAAAGATTTTCCTGGATTTTCCGAACATAATCAATCACAAACTGTAAATTTAAAAGTTGAGAAAAGGAATATAATAAGTTAATTATATTTGCTGGTCTGATTGACCAAATTACTTCTTTCGATTAATTAATCGTTTTTTGTAAGGTCTTGGTTGAAATAAAAAAGATAGCGTCTCGAGCGGGATACGAACCCACGACCGTCGGCTAAATACGCCACTACTCTACCACTTGAGCTGTCGTGACTTCGATCCACTCGAACAAATATCCCATCTCAACCCCTCCTTTTGAATTTCCCCCCGGAAAAACTTATATTGGAAAGTCATGAGATGTAAGTGTTTTTTTATTTTTATTTAAGGGTAGTAATGCTTTAGGGCGGTTTTATGTTTAATCATGACAAGAGGAAGAAAAGTTCCCTCTGGAATTGGACACCTGTTGAATCATCAATTGCTCCCTGGCGTTCTACTTATCGTAGAACTTTTATAATTCAATATTCTTTTTTTCTTTTGTGTTAAGCAAGAGTTTCTTGCATGGAAACAAAGTATTTCCCAGGTTCTACAAGCTATTATAGTAAAGTTGTTACTAAATTGCCGGCAGCAATTTTACCAACAGTAAAGCAAAGGGAATGAACAAGAGACCTGTAAGTACAAGCAAGGCGAATTTCTCATAGAGGATTATAAATACGAAAACTTGCCTTCATCAAAATTAAAGATATAGTTTGAATTTTTGGCGGTTTTGTAAGAATTTTTTAAACACCTGACTGCCATTAGGCAAAATAAGTGTCTTTTAAAAATTTTATTTAGCCTACACATATTTTGCTTTATCACTTGAGCTATCGTGACCTCGATCCACTCGGACACTAACTTCCCATCTCAACCCCAACTTTTGAATTTTCCCTGAAATTGCCATTTTTCAAATGTCGTGTAATCGGATTGGATTCTCGACGACAAATGAAATGGCCACGGAGGCCAATACTTCATTTTAAATAATTAAATTCACTAATTTCGTGGTCCGCTTGACCAATTAATATATATATAGACGAATTAATTCATAATCTTAAACATTCAAAAACTCGTTGAAACCGTAAACTAATATAAAAGTTAAAAAGACTTAAAAAGATAATTAAGAAATAACATAAAAGAAAAGAAACTAAAATAATGCACGATCACTCTGGATCAATTTATGCTCTGGAAGAAAAAAAGCAAATTCAGTTCTTACTGCCAAGTTTTCGACCTTTTTTAAAGTCATCATCAGGGCCTATATTAATTTCACATTACGAAAAACATAATTATACAATTGATTTAACATTTGGGTTTCATAATGTGAAATTAATATAGGCCCTGATGATGACCTTAAAAAAGGTCGAAAATTGGCAGTAAGAACTGAATTTGTTTTTGTGTTCAAGGTTTCACTTTCATCCAGAGTGTTCGTGAGTGAAAAAGTGGTAGATACTTTTAACATTGAAAACTAAAATAATTCTAAATTGAGTATACTTTGCTCTTACTTCTTTTAATAGAGAGAAAAACGCAGCATAAGAACTAGGAATGCTCTTAGATTCAATTAAGGACTTGGAATCTTCTTTCTTCGCATAAAATACAATTCACTATTTACAATAATTCAATTTTCTTGAACATTTTTGCCCTGCGCCATTGAACTGAGCCTTCGTGCAACCCGGATTTGTCAGTGAAATCAATGTGCACCGAGAGGATCCAATATCCATAACATTTTGACCTAAAGTAGTTGCTAAAGCTAAAGAGGTGGAATTTGAAAACTGACAGACTTCATTATCATTATTGATGGCAGTTTTTTTTTGTTGGTTGTCAACATGTTTAGATATGTATATATATNCCGTGTGTGTGTGTGTGTGTGTGTGTGTGTGTATATATATATATATATACAAATAAATTTTAAATCATGAATGTATCAATGCTCCACATTGCGATTATTGATCCCTTGACACTAATGAATAGTTTATTAAAAAGATTGGTCCGTTATTATGACAACTGTGCCATTTTTCCTAATAAAGCTCGACACCGAACTAAAAAATGCCACTTTTCGTGAATGGACACAGCGCGTAGCAGGATTCAAATGGTGCTGCCTACCAGCTAAGAGGTAATCCGGTTTTTTGAAGTCGTTTCACTTTTCTTGTGGGCGTACGTAATGGCTGTGCAATGTAGAGTATTCATGAGTAGTTTCTTGGAACACGTTTAAGTATTTACCAACAGGGGGAATATTTCTGGACTTGAGAGTTAATATAAACCCTTTTTGTAAAATAGATAAGTTTTTAGGGTGGATAGACACTCGCGTTTGCGTTTGCGCGTTACTATCAATTTAGCACGGGTTGGGTTAGGTTAAGAATGTTTAGGTTAAGTAAGGGTTAGTTAACCCACTGATAAGGCATTTTTGGGGCTGTTTTAATTAGGATGAAATTACAATTATAAAACAATAAATTAGTGTTTACCTGCAAAAAGAAGTAGTTTGGCACATTTCGTCCGTCCTTGGATTGCTGCTTTCATGAGCGGTGTGAATCCTAAAATGTTCCTGGCATCGACTTCTATCTCCTCGACTCTGTCTAAGAGAAGGCTCACAACCTCTACCTGGCCTGTACACAGAAATATTCTTTTTAGGTTACATGAGCGATTAGTTACTACATACAAGTAAAAAACAAAAACACAAAATCTCGTGCTTTTAAGAAGTTTTATGAATCAAAAGGATGTCCTGAACACGAGGATTTTACGGTGAAACTTATCAGTTCTCTTGGTATTGTTTCATATTGGGTTTTGATTTGGGAAACATTGCTTATGAAGGTTCAGAAGAACACCAGAGTTATTTTGTTCCCACGATAAAAATCAAATCTCTTCAATCACTTATACTGCTATTGGTCTTCCCAAAGCATAGTCGCCAGTTAAGTCCATGGATCATTCATGTACCTTGGCCCAGCAGAAGAATTTTTACGGCTCATCTTTACTCTTATCCTAGCTTCGATACTCCCGCCGGGTACTTTGCAACGCCTAATCCTCCAAGGTTGGACCTCATTGTCAGGATGATGGAGATATTATTCCCGGCGTACTTTTTCGCCTGGCCAACTCTTAGCGTACATAATTTTTGGGGAAGAGGGTTCTTCTCAAGTCTGAAGCTTGACGTTCCAAGACTCAGATCAGTTATACTGCTATTGGTCTTCCCAAAGTCACCAGTTAAGTCCTTGGATCATCTATGTACCTTAGCCCAGCAGAAGAATTTTTACAGCTCAGCTTTACTCCTATCCTAGCTTCGATACTCCTGCCCGGCACGTTGCAACGCCCAATGCTCCAAGGTTGGATCTCACTGTCAGGATGATGGAGATATTATTCCCGGCGTACTTTTTCGCCTGGCCAACTCTTAGCGTACATAATTTTTGGCGAAGAGGGCTCTTCTCAAGTCTGAAGCTTAACTTTCTGAGACTCAGATCAGTTGTACTGCTATTGGTCTTCCCAAAGCATAGTCACCAGCTAAGTCCTTGTTTCATTTATGTACCTTGGCCCAGCAGAAGAATTTTTACAGCTCATCTTTACTCCTATCCTAGCTTCGATACTCCCGCCGGGTACTTTGCAACGCCTAATCCTCCAAGGTTGGATCTCATTGTCAGGATGATGGGGATGACATTATTCCTGTCGTACTGCGTCGCCTGGTCAACTCTTAGCGTACATAATTTTTTTGGCGAAGCGGACTCTTCTCAAGTCTTTTCCAAGACTCCTTCCGCTGCCGCTGTCATGACCAAGCTTTCCCCTATGGCTTCAAACAATTCACGACGAACTTCATCGTGTAAGTGGCAGTTAACTGTGCACATGCAGGGCCGTGTTATTTTCTCCCCTCCTGCAAAAGAGCGAATGTTTCAAATGAATCTGATACAACTTCCAGCAGATTCCCAGTGACACGTTGCAACTGGGCGAGATAGTGATCGACTTCAATATGCGTGTTTTTCAACCTTCAGACGATCGATTGGAGGATGGCAAGGGTAGTTGCCTTTTTAAGAGGCGTCTTAGTTGTCACTGTATCGTCTCTTCTATCTCTTTTATGTTGTTCGCTTTTATCCCTGAGGATTGTGAGTTCCTAGATATATGGCTCGCTTCTTGCAATTAGGTCTATCTGTGACCGGCGGCATTGCCAGCAATGATCTGTAGGGCATCGGTGGAGACGGTTCTATAAGCTCTGGCCATCTTCCAATAACACTGGTCTGTGAGCCGACATTACGACATTTATCGCTGTCACGTTCAACTTCTCATCCTACAGGACGGGCATGGTATTGTCGCTGACCATATTGCATTTTGTATAATTCTAATTTTTTTGTTAAAGCGCTTACGAGTGTGACTAACATTGCTACGTTATCCTGAGTTTACTTTGCATGCACTCGTAAATCTTAAATTTCTGCTCACACGCCGATGTATTTTTGGCACTTACGTCATTGCATTCTTTACCTTCCTACTGTGATGCGTTGGTCCTTTCTTTCCTGCCTTTCAGAACCATGAGGACGATTTTGACTGTTGACACACAGATTTACGTCACGCACGATCCCTCGAGGACTCTCCTCGATTTGTGAATGTTAGGACTTGGGGTTTTGTCAGTTAAGCGAACCTGTCCGACTGAGCGTTTCTAAGGATTTAGTACCCCCTACGACCAGACAACTGTCACACTGAGGCCCAAAATCCCACATAATCATGCAACTGAGAATACCAACTTTGTTTATGAACTGTGGTTAGGTTGGTCTGATTTAAACCAACACCGCATTAATTTCAAATAACACGGTGAATTCTACCCTACGATTAGGTACACAGACAAGTTCGCGTGGCTGCATTATTAAAAAGAGCTTCCTTTGCTCCTTCGCGAGATTTTGCCAACCTCCCAGCGACATGCCAATTGTTCTGTTCTCATCAAATATTCATGTTCCGAGCAAGTACAACCGCTGCGTTATAAATTTAGTGTTTCTGAATTAAAGTACTATCGGTGTCACATTATGATGAGGTGTTAATGTGCGATCCTCATGCAATTATGTATCTTGCAAAATTGTTAACATTGTATTGGCCAATTAGACTCCCAGGTATTCATTGTCTTTTCCAAAATATTTATGGCAGTAACATTCACTGGGAGATTCGGGGTAATCTGATCGAGTAAAATCAGAGAGAACCCATGAGCTAGATTTTATTAATTTGCAAAGCTTTCAGACTTCAAAAAATTAGATTTTTAGTAATAATTGATAACATTACTACAGCAACAATTAATACAATCGTTCAGTTCGTCTAACTTCTATTTCTCCTATCCAACCCCAGCCGAAGTCCTCGAGGCCATAACCACATCCTACTCCAATGCAATTGGAGGTGATGGCATCTCTATCCATTTTCTTAAACTCTGCCTCCCAATATTACTACCTGATCTACTTCACATCTATAACTACTCTCTCCAAAACTCTGTTTTTCCGACAGCCTGGCAAAAAGCTCTTGTCCACCTTGTCAATAAAACCCCCAACCCATCCTCCCCTACAGACTACCGTCCCATTTCCATCCTCTCAAACCTGTCCAAGCCCCTAGAAAGATTAGTCCAAGCACCTTGAACAGTCCCATCTTCTCAATCCCCTCCCATCTGGCTTCCGCCAAGGTTATTCTACCCAATCAGCACTAATAAAAATTACCAGAGACCTCCACTTAGCAATGGACCAACGGAAAGTTACTATACTTGTCCTTCTTGATTTTTCTAAAGCCTTCGATTCTGTCCCTCTCTAAACTCGAATCTTTTTCCTTCTCCGCCAGCACCATCCGTTGGTTCCACTCCTACCTTACCAATCGCCACCAAGCTGTCTCCCTTCCCAATGGCCTTACCCCCTTCTTCCACCCTCTAAAATCTGGGGTGCCTCAAGGCTCTAGCATCTCTCCTATCCTTTTTTCCATTTATATCAATGATCTGCCCGACTCCATCCAGTCCTGTAACTATCACCTATATGCCGATGACTCCCAAATCCTTCCACCCTTCCGATCTTCACTCGGCCATTCTCAAGATCCAAAGAGACCTAAACTCCATCAACGAATGGGCACATAAAAATTCCCTAGTCCTCAATCCGTCCAAATCCACAGCCATAATTATCGGGTCCAGGCAACTCCTCAATTCCCTCCCCAGCATCCCAGCTCTCATGCTAAATAACCATCCCATCTCCTTCTGCTCTTCGGTTAAAAACCTAGGAGTGGTCTTTGACCAAAACCTTTCCTGGCATTCTCACATTTCCCAAATTTCCCGCCATTCCATTGCCTCCCTCAGCCTGTTTCGTCGGTCCTGGCTTCTCTTACCTTTCTCCACCCGCAAACTCCTTGTACCATCCCTTCTTCGATTGTAGGTGTTTGGCATACGGTGGTCTCTCGGAGGGGGAGAACGCGCGATTGAAGCGTATTATGAATTGTTGCGTAAGATTTGTGTACGGCACCCCACGGGGATCCCGGGTGTCGGGGTTCCCAACTTTCCTGGCTATTCCCCTCCTTCCGTGCACAGTATTTCCTAGGTTGCTTTCTTTTCCAGTCCATCCACACTCGTCGTCCTCCTTACATCATCCAATCCCTCCAATTCAACTCCTCACATCTCACTCATAAGACCCGCTCATCCCCAATCGACCTTATCCTTCCGCAACATACAACCCATACCTTCGAAAAATCCATTCTGATCCGATCCCCTAAACTCTGGAACTCCCTTCCCCATTCTATTCGTCACGCTGCCTCCTTTTATTCCTTTCAATCCCACCTCAATAATCACCTCCTCTCCTTCCACACAGAGACCTCATGTTAACATTTGTTATTTTTTATTAATATTCTCGTAATTTTTTCTTCTGTCCTGCCTTTTTGGTATTCATTGTGCCCAGATTTATATCTTTTTTTTTTTTACTTTTAACTTCATACAAAAAACTTCCTTTATTTATTTCATGTAAATTATTCTTAGGGGACACCAGTTCCAGAATAAAGTTATTTTTCTTCTTCCTACAATCAGGCCATCCGATATGAAAAAAATAATTTCAATTGAATAAATTTGTCTAAACAACCCTATTAAAATGACAATTTCTGTCAAGTATTGTACAATAATTCAACTGGATAACCTATGTAATTTCAATGGGATTTGAGTAAACCGCTCGGTCCTTAGGTCAAACTTGATGTGCTTTAGCCAACCACAAACTACTCGTAATTGTCCTCATGTCAGCAATCGTTAATTGCGCATTCAAAGCGTTGTGAGCTAATAAACCTAATGAATCCAAATGCACCGCTAGCAAAATCAAAACGAGCGTAAGTAATGTTTAAATATGTAACAACAATTTCGAGTAATCGCCCACCTGCTTGAGCGGCAAAATGGAGTGGCGTGTTGCCCTCATTGTCGGCCAAGTTGAAATTTACTTTCGGGATTTCCAACAACGCATCTAGAAGATCCAAAGAGCCGTTTCCAGCAAAATAGCTGACTGCCGTCTGAAAAGCAAAACAAAAGCATTAATTAGAAAACTTACTCACTTAATAAAATTGAGTAAATGTTTATTTTGAGAATAAGTAAATTATAAAATGGGATAATAAAGTCTGCTGCGTTATCTAACGAATTGCTAATTAAGTGAATTGTAAAGAGATAAGCAACTCGGGATTTGATCATTCGTACAATGTCAATAATATTATGGTTATTAAAACAACAACGATTTAATCAACAATGCTCAATCGAAAACAAAATAATCAAAAATTGAACTGATTCAAAACCATATTCCTTCGGTTGAATCAGTGGTAATTTTTGTTTGAACAAGAGATGCTTGATTGCATGATATCTCAACTCAACACTAAGCCAGAATAAAGATTAACAGTTATTGAGGTGGAAGAAGAATAGAAGAAACTTGGATGAGAGTGGCATCCATGGACTCTCTGTCTAACATGAGCCTCCAACCTCCCAGAGATAACACACATATACACACCTGGGATTCTGTCTTCAAGACCTAGTTTTATTAACAGGTTCGAGATGCCCACTGGTTTTCAGGATTCTGGGGATTTTGGTTCCAAGCACGACACAAGGCTCCGAAATGCATTTCTACTTATTCAGATTTCTTTCACGAAGGGGATTACCGAGCGTCCGAAGATTTGAAAAGTGCCTCCATTTTGTTGTAGTGAGCTTTAATATCTGGATTGTGTGCACCATGCCAATGCTGGTTAAGTATGGGCTACAATTAGAGAGAGAGAGATAGAGAGAGAGAGAGATAGATAGATAGAGAGAGAGAGAGAGAGAGAGACTAAGCAAGAGAGAGAGAGAGAGAGAGAGAGAGAGAGAGAGAGAGAGAGAGAGAGAGAGTGAGTGAGTGAGAGGGAGTGGTGGTGTTGGTGGGAGGGAGGGAGGAGAGAACAACCACACAAAAGAAGATGATTGAATAGATAGATAGATTCATCGATAGATAGATGAGAGAAAGAGTGGGTGATTGTGTGAGATAAGCAGATATAGAAATATGCGTAGATGGAGAGATAACAATAAATAATAATGAAATACAACTACAAATAATATACATTTTAAACACATACTAAAAATGTAGTGTATACAATTAAAAGAGACAATTATGTTTAACATTACACATGATTTTATAATAATTTAGAAATAGATAAATATATAGACCAAAGACAATAAGAAAGAGAAAGTGTGAGAGTGTGTGAGAGAGATAGTGACAGAGATAGATAAACTGATGAATAGGTCGATAGACAGATAGATAGGAAGATAGATAGTTTAGACCGATGTATAGATAAACAGATAGATAGGTAGAAATACAGATAGATAAATAGAAAGAGACATAAAGAAAAAGGGACAGAGAAAATGAGGGATAGAGAGAGAATGGTGTATATAAAAAACTGGAATGATAAATAGATACATTGATAGACAGACAGATAGATAAATTTGCAGATGTATAGAAATACAGATAGATAGATGAGAGAGAGAGAGAGAGAGAGAGAGAGAGAGAGAGAGAGAGCGTGATTTGGTGAGATAAATAGATAAAAAATGCGTAGATAGAGAGATAAGAATAAATAATAATAAAAGACAACTTCAAATAATATAAGTTTTAAACATATTCTAAAAATGTAGTGTATACAATTAAAAGAGACAAACAATTATGTTAGAAGTATGGAAGAAAGTAAGTAAAAGATAATTTAAAGATTGAAAATAGATAGAGCAGAGAGAAAGAGAAAGAGTGAGAGTGAGTGCGAGAGGTAGTGACAGAGATGGATAGATAGATAAACAGACAGATAGATAGATAATTTAGACAGATGTATAGATAAACAGATAGAGAGATAGATAGAAATACAGATAGATAAATAGAGAGACAGAAAGAAAGAGAGACAGAGAAAATGAGAGAGAGTGAGAGACATAGTGATATAGATAGATTGATAGATAGATAAACAGACAGATAGATATGTCGAAAGATAGATGGTTTACAGATGTATAGATCAACAGATAGATAGTTAGAAATGCCGATAGTGAGAGAGAAAGAGAAACAGGGAAAGTGTGTGAGATAAAGAGAGAAAGAGAATGAGAGCGATATACATAAATAAACTGATACATAATTAGATAAACAGACAGACCGAGAGCGAGAGAAATAGTCAGTGAGGGAGAAATACTGGGAGAGAGTAAACAAATAAAAAACTAAACAACAACACATTGATTGATTAGACAGGTATATAGATAGATAGAAGTACACAGAGATGAATAGATAGCGAGAGAGTGGGTAGGTGAGTTAGATAGATATAGCGATGGACAGAGAGAGAGAGAAAAAGAAAAATGTAGAGAATGATATAAATAGATAAACAGATAGATAGATAGATTGATAGATAGATAGAGAGAGAGAGGGGGCTAATAGGGGAGTGAGATAATAAGAGATTGTGAGGGAAGGAATAAATAAAATGAGAGCAACAGAAAGAAAAGAGAGAAACAAAGAAAGAGGGAGAGGGAGTGTGAAATAGGTAGCAAACTCGCACATATACACATGCAACACAAATCCTTTATTTATTTATTTATCATTTATTAAAGTTTATTTACACAAAAGATACAAAATAAAAGATTAATTTAAAAAAAAAGAAAGAAAGCTCTTTATCCGCTTTATCCTCGTAGGAGTGACAGTACGGGTCGCTTGTCCCCGCTAAGATTTTCTTTTCTTCTTTCTCCGGGCTTAAACCGGTTGTTAATAAAGTTGTATCCGATGGAAAAGGGAAACCAAAGAATCGGAAATATTCTCGATTGGAGACCAATCAATTCAACGATTTAAGCCCATAGTTTTATATTATTTGTGTCTGCTATTTTGTTGTTGAATACGATACTCTTACAATTTTTTAAAATTTATTGTATCATGTATTTTGCATGTGAGGGTAATCGATGTCAATATCTCCTCAAATTTGTCCGGGTGGTTTTCTTTCCCCTCGTAAAAAAAAGGGCGAGACCGAAACCAAATTTCCGGACACCGCTGAAGTTTCATTAGGCGGGTTCCAACTCAATTGACCCACTCCCGTAAGTGTCCTTCCCTCTTATCGAACATCAGTTTTCCCAGTTTGAAAGGAAACTTCCAAACAACCCTAGAAAAACGGGAAGTTATTGCATAATACGGTCTCGTTCGTCCCTTTTACGATTTCAGCCCAGACTGTAATGTTGCATTTGAGTTAAAATAATAGGGTTGCTCGGGATTTCATCATTCGTACAAATGTCAATAATATTATGGTTATTAAAACAATAACGATTTAATCAACAATAATCAAAAATTGAATTGATTCAAAACCATATTCCTTTGGTTGAATCAATGGTAATTTTTGTTTGAACAAGGGAAGATCCGTATCGATTACATATCTCAACATCAACACTAAACCAGATTAAAGATTAACAGTAATCGAGGTAGAAGAGGATAGAAGAAACTTGGATGAGAGTGGCATCCATGGACTCTCTGGCTAACATGCGCCTCCAACCTCCCAGAGATGACACACATGTACACACCTGGGATTCTGTCTTCAAGACCTATTCTGTCTTCAAGACCTAGTTTTATTAACAGGTTCGAGATGCCCACTGGCGAGCTGGTTTTCACGATTCTGGGGGTTTTGGTTCCAAGCACGACACAAGGCTCCTAAGTGAATTTCTGCTTATTCAGATTTCTTTCACGAAGGGGATTACCGAGCGTCCGAAGATCTGAAAAGTGCCTCCACTATTACTTATAATTATCCTAATTATTTAATGCAGTAATAATCTTTATATAATTCGTTAATGATTTAACAATAAATAAAAAGTTGCATTTATTGAGGTAGGATCAAAATGGCATGAATAAAAATAGAATCAACGTGACATGTTGGAACGAGTGGGTCTTTTTAGGAGGAAAGTAAAGTGAAAAATTTAAAACTTTAGAATCAGTGTCATACTTGCAAGCACCTGTTCCAACCAGTATTAAAAAAGTTGGAAATAACCATTATTTAAATAATACAAAATTATAAACGGATCTATGGAACGCCGAAAATAAAGATAAAACATTAAACCTTTTTGAATAATATTGGCTTTTATTTATAACATTTAGAGGTTGTTTAATCGTGAAAAACAGTCACCAACCTTATTTACTAAGGATAAATTATATTTACTTTTATTTAACTTCAGTTCAAAAGGTATTCAGATTTGAAAAGGATTATCGGATTTCTAATTACAAAGATATCAAGAACAGCTGACCAGCTTTCTTTGTTGCTCTCTTTCTTTCTTTCTCACGCTTACCACTTTCTCTCTCTCTCTTTCTCTTTATATCTATCAATCTCTCCCTTTTTTACTCTCCTCCCCTTAGACCACTTTCGCTCTCTTTCTTTATATCTATCCATCTATCTATATTTTTTTTTATTCATCACTCACTTTCAATCCCTCTAGCAATACATCTCTCTCTAGCCCATTCTCTTTCGTCTAGCCCACGATCACCCTCGCTCTCTATTGTAATAAAAAAGATATTTTGAAGGAAGGTGTAAGAAATTTAATGAAATAAGGTTCAGAATGATTTCATATGAATGTATTTTTAAATGAATTAACGTTTTATTGTATTTGTTTTATTTTTATTTCACGAACTATCTATTTTCTATCTATATTTCCATCTATATCAAATTAGACATCTTTCTCTCTATCTTTTTATAAATTATTTTATATCTATCTATCAAAGCATATATCATTCTCTATGCCACTCTTCTCCCTTTAGAGTACTTTCATCCTATTTCTTTCTATCGTTTCATCTATCTATCTATATCACTTTATACATCTCTTTCCATCGATATATTTTATTATATATTATACAGGGTGTCCCAGTTCCTTCTGACGAAACTCAGGGAATCGATTTTACTCTTCATTTGGAGCAAAAAATGCCCAGGAGAAAATTTTCGGAAAGTTCTCTATTTTGAAGTTATTCGTCAATTTAGGTTTTTCAACTTTTCTCTACCTTACCACATAAAAA